CTCTGTTCCCATGACAACACCCTGCAAAGCAGCTCCCTGCAAGCTTCCCCCTGACTGCCTCATCACATCTGACAGCCATACCCAGGATGCAGAGTTCAGCCCCAGACAATGCTTCTTCCTTCAATTAACAAGAAGTGTTTTGCAAGGAAAGAAATGTCTATTTGAAATAGTGATGTTTGGATTGTTAGAACAGAGAGTAGTAAGCTCTCCACCACCCAAACACTGGGGAGATGGCAGAGTTTTGTCTCCCATTTGATACTGCACACTGCTGCTCAGTAATATGATTTGGAATGACTTTTGGTTTTGCTCTGGAGGCTATATTTGTTTTCATTGGTGCTGGGTACAATGTGCCTGATTCTCCATGTATGCTGAAATGAATTAAAATATAACAGCACTTCAAGTAACTCCTCATCTCATGTAATAGAAGTTAAGGAGTTGTTCAGACTAATTATTGTGGAGAGGAAGATCTGCTTTTGTTGGGAGTGAGCCTTATCCTGCCCATCCTCCAAAAGCTGTATGCCTCCTGGGAGCCCCTCAAGAGAGAGGCCTTCACAAGGGCCAAATACAGATCAGTCAAACCAGCAGCTATCCAGGCACAAGTCTTTGGAGCTGATGCTTTTGGCTGTATAGATAAGAAATGAGGAGCATAAAGATGAATTCAGGACATTGAAGCTTGGTGGCAGTGGTGGAAAGTGAGCTTAGTTTTCCTGCCTGCCAGACCAGTGCTATAGTGAGTTGGAGGACGGGAGTCTTTCTCTTCTTTTTAAGTTAAAAGTATTTTAAAACATTTTTTCCAGTACAGATTCTAAGTTTGTTTTGCTTTTTATATGAAGACCAAGAGCTCAGTTTGGGGCTTTGGCTCTACCACTCCCAGTTACTCTGTACATGCCTCAACAAGTGCATGTTGCCATCTGGATAGAAGGGAATCAAACTTAGGCCCGATATAACCAAGAAAGTGCTGGGATATAAATGGGACTCACCAAAGGGCTAGAGCCCACAGAGGGGCTTCTCCAAGCCTGCCCAACTGGGAGGAACTTGCAGCTGGATTCTGACAGAGTTACCCCCTTTCTGGCACTGAACACTACGGGGGGCTGGCAAGTGCTCTGTCCTGGCACAGTCGTGGCCATACTGAGGTGTGAACAATGGCTGCCTTACCACCTCTGATGTTCTGGACCTGCAAGTGCCCATGAGAGGGCATCACAGCTGCAACAGTGAGCCAGACTCTGTGCTCCCTTCCTCCAGCAGCAGTCCTCTGAGCATCCCTCACCTCATACCTCTGTGTGCTACTCAGAAGGCTTGCATGGTCCTGAGTCAGGAGCCAGGTTCACTGTCACAGGGGTCAGCATAAGGTGCTTCCTGCACCACATGCAAGGATGCTGGCAGTCCATAAGTGACAGCCCATAACCCATCCCAGGCACATGCCCCACCAGCAGCAACGGAGTATTGTGTCCTGAGTTTTATAGCACTGTAAGGACTCAGTATAAAATCCACTGCAAAAGCTCGTTGCTCTGACAGACAAAGCAGTTTGTGTGTTATGAGGTCAGGCTATCTGCTGAAAAGCTGTTTGTCCTGCCTCTTGGTGACTGCATCATGCATATTTTGATTTGATCCATTATTCAACTTTGTCCAGCCCAAGCATTTCTGTGACCCCAGCATCAGCCTGCACATTGCCTTCAACTTCATTCAATTACTGGCTAATCTGCTCTTCCATTTTATTTGATCTGCACCTTAAAGACCAAATCACGTGTACTGCAAATCATACAATGACCATCCTTAACTTGGATAGCTTCAAGCTGGTCCTGAGGAACAATTAGATCACTGTCTGTAGAAGCTGCTATTTAACGAAGAAAGAAATGACAACTCTAAATAAGGCAGATGCAGAAAGCCCAAAGATTGCTTACACTGATAATAAAAATTAATCAAACATTATTAACAGTCTCCAGAGAACCTAGTACATCATGTGCTTCTGAGATGTGCCGCTGGTTATTCTGCCTGTTGCAGAGTATCTCAGGCAGAGATATTCTGCCTGACAAGAGCACCTGCTTCTCTCAGCTCAGGGGCAGAAAGGAGCTTTGCTGCATCAAGAAAGGGATCAAAATTTGGAGCCATTTTCAAACAGAGTGGGGGTGGCTGTTCTTGAAAGCTGTTTGAGCCAGCCTGCAGTTTGGTGGTGCCAAGCCATGATCACTGGGGAGGTCAGTAAATACATGCAGGTGATTCTACAAAATACATAGCCTTGCTTTTCTTGCTGTAGAGTAGGACTTACCTAGAGACAGCCCACTCTGAGAAATATTCCCTGGGAGGCTTCTTCTGCACCCACCTAAATGCAGCTGTGATGGGCTTTTAGGTAGGCAGCATATTTGACGCAGGAGAGCTGTGGGAAGCATTGGTTATTAACACTAGTCTCTCATGGATTATTTTAGCACACAGTTATTTCTACTAATCGCATGTCATTCCTTTTTCCATCCTGCCTGTCTTCCTCACTAGCCACATTACCTTAATTTTAACTCAGCTTCAAAAGCTGGATGCTGAGTCCATTCTGTATCATCTTTAATACACTGGAGCCCTGATGAATGCTTCTGGGTTTCACAACAACTGAATGTTTTGTTTGGGGTTTGTTTATTTGCCCATCACCACCACTTATGTTTATAGCTTGGTATTGTGGGAATAGTGAGGAAAGTGAATAACTGATCTTGCCGTATTTTTCTCCTAAAGCAGTAAGAAGTGCATCTGGATTACCTTAACTCAATTTGGGACAGCAGAGAGGCGAAGTGTGGGGAGAGCAACTGATGTGAACTCATTGCCATCTGATACGATTTTGGAATGAGAGCACCCTATTAACTACCCCTTCATGCAGACTACAGTGATTCATTATGTTGGTGCTTTCTCTGCTGGCTGCCACTGTGTCCGATTGCTCTCTGGATAGGTACAGGTGAACCCATTTCCCCTTCTTTATGATAATTACTTAGATAATGAGCAAATTCCCAGTTGGATTCTACTGTTGGATGCTCTCTTGAGGACAGGTGATGCTCGCTGGGGCAGAAAATGATCCTGGCAGCAGAGGGAGGACTTTGTTGAGAGTTAAATGACATCCAAATAATTTTAATATAAAGTCACCACACCTTGTTGAAACAAGCTTAAGCTTTCTTTCTTCAGCTGTGCCTCCCTACTGCATAGAGCAAGCACTGCCTTGTTCTGCCACATAGCCATGAAGCACATGCATAGCACAAGCAAACAGGATATTGGAGTGCCTGTGGTGGGGTAGGTTGCTGTTGGCCATGTCCTGCACACCACAGCAGGGGCCTGGAGAACCTGCAGCAGCAAGGACGTGAGTTTTTTCACCTGCCCTGTTCTGCCCATGTATCTGGGCTGTCTGACCCCCAGCCTGCTAACCATAACCACAGCATGCTCAGAGAGCAAATTATTTGACAAGGCCTTATTGTCAGAGGAAGAGATAAAATCCTCACCGAAATGGTCTCCTTCCCCTCATTAGTATGACCTTCTCAGAGTTTCTCTCTACAGTGAGAAGCAACAACAGCATCTCCACCGGTTAAATCGTTGCTCTGTAGCAAGCTGCTCTAGGACCCTGTCCCAAGAGGCTCTTCCTAGCTGTTAAAGCATTGACCAGGACTATAAGGAGCCCCACTGAGAGACGCCTCAGCCCTCACAGCTAAACCATACCTGGGATCTTTGCTTTATTCATTACCTAATTGGAAGGCACTGAAATGGATATTGGAAGATATCTCATGACCTTAATATCACAGCATATGAAGCAGCAGGAGGAAAGAGATGCTAGGCAGAAGCTTCCCTGCAACAAAATGTGGTCTCAGTTGGAGTAAATGTATCTAGGAGAATGCTAAGCTGTAAATGCCAAGTTAATTAGCCCTCGTACATAATTTGTTTTTAAAAATACACTGTCATCTCCTTCTGGAGGAAGAAGAGCCCATTCTGTTAGCCTAAAAAGTCTATCGGAAAAATGTCATTAAAGCCTAAATCAAGAAGCGTCATGATACTTTCAGTAGAGGAGTTCTCTGTGAGTAGAAGCAGCTTAAAACCCACAGATCTCCTTTCTAAACTTGCTGAGCAAGAAGGCCAAACAGCCCTTCCACAGCACCACTCTCAGCAGACCTACTTTACTGGTTCTCAGACACCTCCACTACTGAGACCCAGCTTCTCTGTTACACCAGGTCCAAGTCATATTTTGCCCAATTAAGGGTTGTCAGCAGATATCTCTGCCAGCACCCAAAAAGGCTAGTGGCAAAATCCTGATCATTTTTTGTCTATCCTGATCTCTGCTGGCCTGGGTAAATCCAGGGTGCTTTGTTTTCTGGATAAATCCAAGCTTTGTTTTCTGACCAGGGATTTTGAAATGTTTTTTTGGATTTGTGATCCAGAGAAGTCCAATGATTAACCCCCAATTAAATTTTTCTTTTCGAATTAATAGCCAGTGCTGTCTGATGTTGCACACTTTCCCATATGAAGCCTGTTTGTCTTTGTTCTCCATGACTCGGTGTGTTTTGCAGCTGTCAAGTGCCTGATCCTTTGCCATGCTCCGTCTGATCTGTTTGTGGCGGAACAGAGGACTGGGGTTTATAGCAACAGTTTAAAATATATTGGTTTTCTCATTGAGAAGGTAGGTCTCAATATTGCTCTTTCCCTTATGCAGTATTTTTCAATACTGTCTCTGCCAGCAGTGCCACTGAGATGATCCCCAGCTGGCAACAGCTGGAAAAACACAGTGACTAGCACAATGGGGTTGTAGGTGACATTGGTACTAGCCCTGCCTACCATTTCCTAACAGCAGAGAGAGTTTTTAGCTGGCTGGGTCCATGTTTCTCATCTCAGTCTTCCTGTCAGCCCCTTCTTAATGCTTCATCCCTTGGAAGGAAGAATGTCACAATGTCACCATGAGGCTGCTGCCCAGCAAGAGCATGAGGATGCTGCAAGCTGCAGCTTGCTTCACCCCAGCACAGGCCAGCACAGCCAACCCAGGTACAAACAGTACAGCACTGCAGAAACCATGCTGTGGAGCACAGGGCTGGTAAAGACTGTGCCAACCCCACAGGCAGTGAACCTGAAGGCACCTCGAAGTGGTAGTTGTTTCCTCAACTGCAGTCACAGTGTCTGCATGTCCATTGCAGGGAGGAAGTGTTTCTTCCTGGTTCTTGAGAAGGATATGTGAAAGGGGGTGAGCAGTAAGTCAGTTCTGACCCTGCCACTGCCCAGGGAAGACATGTGGACAGCAGGGGTGAGACACACAGGGCTGAGCTTCCTATCTTTTAGGATACTGGAAAGTTTTACGTTCAGTGAGCACATAGGTCTGCATATCTTCCCCTTGTGAGAGCCAAGATGCTTTTCTGGAGAGTCCAACCATTTCTCACAGTGGGGGCAGCCACTAGCCCCAGGCATCCATCCTGCCTCATTCAGAAGAAGGAAGAGAGAAAGTCCCTGCAGCATCCCTTCAACTAGTTCTCACTGCTGTGGCTTCCTGTTATTCCCAAACTCCTGGTATTTTTAGGTTGACTGTCTTCACACCCACTTTGATAGTGACGAAGTCTCATCCTGGGGAAGTCATGGCAGGACCAACCTAGTAACAAAATCATTAAATCAATTCTCCTTTCAGCAATGCCATCACTAGTGAAATGTCACTGATACCTACAGTGTAATCTCCAGAGTCTGTAGCCTTTCATCAGCAATGTGATTGTTAAGAGAAGAGGAGGAGGAGGAGGAGGAGACTAGCACATGGCTGAGCTAGCCCCAGCAGCGGAAAGCCCATGAAAAGGGGAAAAAAGAAAACTCAGCTTATGAAAAGGATCAGACTTTAAACTGATGGAAAACCAGTGCCTCACCTCCATCTATTAAGTGGACAGATGATAAAGCAATACAGGCCACAACTGATGTTTGCCCCATAAAATAAACCAAGCAATGTACAGCCCTAAAACATGTTTATCTGGAAATAAGTCATCTAGTTATTTGCTTCTGAGACATACAAATCAGGCTTGTTTTCACAACATGTTGAGCATCACATTATCATCAGCAAAACAGCAATAGAAAAGCCCATAAAAAGGACCTCCCTGGAGAACTATTAGATAACAGATTACCCTGCAGATATCTGTGGAGAGACACCCCAGCGGGTCTCATCTAATCAGCTGCTCTACTGGCAGAGGCAAAGAAAAAATGCTGGTGGATCTCAGCAGGAAACAAAATGCATGTGAATAATGTTGCTGTAGGGCTAATTCTGGCAGCATCCTCTGACTTCCCACTTGGATCAGCAGCAAGTCCTGCTGCAGAATGGCCAGCCCAGAAAGAGTGAAACTGGACAGTTGGTTCCAGAGCACTTGAACTGATGTGGAGAGGAAGGTGTTGGGGTTAGGGGGAGGAGGCCCACTCCACAGCCCCAGGGTGCTCCTCCTCTGCTACTGCCTGCCCACTGTCAAATATAGGCATGAACTGGGAGCCTGACAGCCACCCTCCACCAGCTGTCCAGGTCTCTGAAGTTTTCAGAAAGCACTAATGTCTTAATCACAGGGGCCATCTTAATTGCAGGAGTCCAAGCAACAATGCCCTGCAAGTTCCACCATATTTCGAAGCACTGTGATGGACCAGATAAGGCTCCTGTTAATGCCTTCCTCTTTGTGTGCTTCAACTCCGTTTTAGGCATGACCAAAACGAAGACATTAACAGAGGGCTAAAGTGTGCTGTCCCACTGCGCTTTGGTGACTACATTAACAAAGCTGTAGTGCTGGAGAGCCCTTTGGCCAAGGAGCAGCTGGCTTGCTCTCTTTTAGGCTGTTTGGGGTAGGGTGTTGCACTTGTCCTCACCTGCAAAATGTTTGTTTGCTGCATGACAGCATTCACCAGCTAGGGCATAAATCATTCAACAAAACCCTCCGCTACCCTAGGGGCTTCTGATAACATGCTCTTACAGCTGTCTTTTTATCTCCCGAGTCCTTCACATCCCAGATTGTTTCAGACATTGCCCTCTCCTCTGCCCGCAGCCACCTGCCAAGAGGCAGCAGGTCTCTTGGCTGAGGGGACATGCCTGGGCTCCCTGCAAACCCATGTCAGCAATAGGTTGCCAAAGGCGCCTAAGTACATGCCTGTGCTGGAGATAAGCAGGAGCAAGCACCCAGGGCTTGCTGAGCTGGTCTACAACACTCAGCCACTTTACCACTTACCTCTGCGGGCATGGAAGTGCTTGTGTTGATGCAGAGATCTGATGTTACTTCCCATGGTCTATAATCCCTCTGGGCTGAGGGAGTGCCTGTCTGTTAGAGCAGCTGTCCTGTCTTAGAGAGCATCTTGCTCACAGGCCACCAGCACCAGAGCTAGACCTGCTGTACACAGAAGGGATGAATTTTTGCCCATTGATTTTTCATCTGCATGTGCTAGGACTCTGCTCTCTTGCACCAGGAATAGCCTGAGTAAGCCTAGAAACCCGCAGCAGTTCTGGGAAGCACAAGAAATTATTTTTGCCTGTACATTTATCCTCATTGTTTCTCCACATTATTGGTGGAGTCTGGTTTCTTTCTGTGCTCGGAGTAAGGCAGCCAAGTGCTGAGGAAAGCCACTTTCAGCGGGCTTCAGGTATTGCTGCGCCATCAACGGTTTTTGCTGTGGCCTTTGATTAAAAAAGAAGAAGGTAATTTGTCGTTGGTAAGAGTGAGATCACCTACTGCTAACGCAGTCTAAGGCACATCTGGGCAGAGACAGACAGCCCCTAAATTCATGTTTAGAGCTTTGGGGAAGACTGAAGCCTTAGGCTCCTGTTCCTCTGTTTTGTGGTCACATAAATACTGCACAAATCCCTTACCTGCTTTTTGCTCTGACCACTTTCTTTTCCTGCCTTCATAAAATTTACAGCCTTTGTATTCTCATACGCTGGCTGGCACTGCCTCAGGTTGCTAGCCAAATACAGTAGGAACAAACTCAGCTTCCCAAAGGGTAAGACTCAAAGCAGCACAAGCAGGATCTTACACCTCCTTTGGAAGGGAGATGGATGGCAGCAAAAGGCTGGGATTTCAAATGCTCACATTTTACCACAATGGCACTTGGCCTGCCTGGTTAGCACATCTCCATTGCCACTCACTCTATACCTTTTCCCAACAGAAACACAAAAGCATTGTGGAGTTCCACCAGGGTAAAGAGTGAAATGAGCTCCTGTTCTCAACAAAGAAATGCACTGAAAACAAAAAACCCAGCATATTCATGATCCAAGCAAATAAACAGCAATAACAATGTAACTTTATTTATATTTAGTTTGACATCTAGCACAGTAATAAGCACAGAAAGAAAGAAGTACCAAAATACCAAACTCAGCATAGAAAATAATCCAATATATTTCATATTTAGAGAAATATTTCTACAGCACATCAGTGGGACTGCCCTGGGCAGCCCAACTCTGTAAATATATATATATATATTTATATAACTGTGTTATATAAAATACTGTATGTAGAGAAAGCACTGAAGCTTATCACCAAAATAGAAAATAGCTCAAAGTACGGATAGTTCAGATTTGCTACTCACACCCAATACTGGAAAGAAGTTCAAACCCACTGCAGGAGATAAAGCTGCAGCTTAAATGCCCTGGCAGGCATGAGATGACATTCCTGGGCACAGACTGACTAATGCTGGCAGGAGACTGGCTCCCGGGACATGCTCCAAACCTGAGCCAATGGCCACAAGGTGACAGGAGTTACTGGTCCTCACCCAGGACTGTCAAGACATCTAAGTGGAAATGCCAGTGACGATGTTAGTGATTGCAGCTGATGCTGTGCACCACGGGACCCCTGGGTGAGCAATGCATTAATGTATGGGGGGGGCTTTAAGCACATGAGTGGCAGCTTGGATCCCATGGGAGACCCCGCAGCCCAGCTGAGCCAAGCTGCAGCCTATGCCTGTGTGGGGCCAAAGGGCTTTTGATAAGGAAGAGCTGCTGGAGCAATGCTCCTGGGATACACAGCTGGCCCTTGCAGATCTGGACGCAGCAGGACTGGCCATGGGCAGATACACATCATCGCAAGGATATTGTTCTGAGCTTTAAAAATGCCTCTTCAGCAGATGACAGTAATTAATTCCCATTCGCCTTTAAAAATCTAGAAAGCTGCTTTTGTGCCAGGCAAGGATACCCCAGGCAATATGTTTGTTCTGGTCTGCAAGTGAACAGCACATGAAGTAGCAACCCTACTGCTACGTGACAGTAACATCAAGTTAAATGTTTGTCCTGGTAAAAACTCCCACCTGCCCTGAGGGTGGCCAAGGTTAATATTGTACTTAAGATCCTAGGAAATTTGTAAATAAATATTAAAAGTATGGCATTTCTGGCAAGAACACTCAAATCCAAATGGAGTCAACCTGCACCAGCACATAGCTCAGGTGCTTCAGGTTGGGTGCTGGGCGAGCAGGCAGGCACCAGCCCCGGCAGCAGGGGAGAACCGAAGGCACATTGGGACCATTTGGTTCCGTACCTGCTGCTCTCTAGACAGCATACTTTTGTGCTTGTTTGTTGCTTTTTGGCTCAATACAATGATTAACTGTCCCGACTGCTCCCGCTAGGAAGATAGCCAAGACCTGCCTGGAGGACCCCTCCTCAGGGGGCTTTGAACCCCAGCAAGGCAGTGCCATAATGGGCTGCCCCTTTGCTGCACCAACCCTGCAGCAGGCTGGGGACTATGGGAGATCACCCCGGGAGCCCTCCCAAACCCTGTTTCTGTGCTTCTGCCACACCACTGCAGGGAAGCCTATAATTCATTAATAATTCTGTAATTGCTTTTTCTCATCAAGCCAGCAGTTGCATCCCTAATTACATGGCAACAATACTATGCTAACAGGATGAGCTACAATTTCTCGGTGGTATTAGCATTCTTGTTTTACTCTGAGTAACTTCCTGGTGATGGCTATTTGAATGTGGCAATATCAATTAAGTGAATATAAATGCTTAGCCCCTGGAAAAATCATTGATAAAAATTTCATTCAGATAGCCTCTAATCACAGCTAAATACAATTACCCATACAAGGCCACTATAAAAAGGATTTTTCTCATCAGAAGAAGTTCATAAGGTTTTCTCAACTGTTTGTAATAAAGAGGACACTATATAGAAAAGTCCAGAAAATAAGCACACGTTTGTTTCTCAAAACCCAAAGATAAACATGACAATATCTCTAAATAACTGGCTACTGAACAGGATTTCATTTAGCTCTACTCAAGCTGTAGCCTGGTATAAATGGTTTCAAAGCAGCACACTGCTGTTTCATCTGGAACAGCTGCACAAGATTTCTTTGATGTCGAGCTCTTGCATGGAGATGGTGTTTCAATTTCTCTTTATGCCTCCAAACTGCTGAAACAGGGGAAAAAAAAAAAAAAGACATTCAATAAAACAGAGATTTTTCATGGAAAAAAAAAAAAGAAATAAAACCTGCAAAATTTGGCCTTGAATGCAGTACCAAGAAATAATTCATCACTGCAGTGGTGACAGAACTACACTGTGCCTCTCACATCCCTTTTTCAAAGGAGAGAGGGACAGCACCCTGTGATTTTGCACTGCAGCACAGTCTCCCTGGGGTGCTGTACCAAGCACCCCCTGTCTCACACACTGGGAGTACCCATGGCTGGTGCCTGCCCTGGACATGCAGTGGGTACACATGCGCTGTTGTCCTGACTCACTGCACTAGCGTGCACATCCCTCCTGTAGTCTCCAAGGAGCATAAATACAATTACCTGAGGAAGGTCTGCTCCTTCCCTGCTCCTACTCAGGCTCCTGCTGCACAGGGGCTGCAGGATATCAAAACTGAATGTGGCTGGTCATGTTGGGCAGCTAAAGAAGGTGCTGCCCTGCATCATTTGCTAAAGATGCTTTGTTGTGCAGTGAGCAAACATGTTTTAAATGGCTGTGTCCATCAGTGAGCAGCCACAAATGCTGCCTGCAAAGCCAGAGAAGTACATAAGTGCAAATCCTCATCTCAGAGCTTCGTAAGTGAGAGGCAGGAGGCAGCCATACATCTCTTTTTCACAGTGCTCAGCGAGCAAGAGCCCTGCACAGTGCCTGGAAGGAGGACTGCTGCCTGCCTGACTGCAGAGCCAGTCATCACAAGCTACACACATTTAGGAGGTGCCAGAGAGGCACGGATGTGCACAGATTTCTCTTTCTGTAGGGAGATAAGGCTGAAACAGTCGCATACACCAGGAGCAGGTGGCAGGAGTGCAGCCCCAGCGATGCTGGGGGAAGTGCCAACAGCGTTACCTCCAGGCAGGATCTCTCTGTCTGCACTTTGCAAAACATTCATGTGGGTTGATCTGCCATGCTCCATAAATCTTTTCCAGAAGAAGTTTTGTTTAAGGAACACTCTCAAAGCAGCACTCATGGAGTTTTCCTGGTGACCTCCAAAAAATACATTTCCTAAGGTGTTTCTCTGTGTCTTTTCAGACAACGCCTTTGCTGGAACAAAAGCAGCAAAAGGTGAAAAGGGCTGCTGAAAAAGCCAGGGGCTCAGTTTCAAAACTCAATGAGCTGCTGCTCGTCTGCAGTGAGGGTCTGGGGGCTCCTGTGCAGCCTTGGCGGGAGCACTGCCAACCACATAGCTCAGTCCCGAGACAACTTACTGCTCTCCCACCGCAGCGCTGCCACTGCCAACGAACGGGATTTCCTCCCTGTCTGTCTTCCCCAGAAGGAGATGGTGCTTCTCCATGTTTATGACACACTGTAGAGAATAGATGCTTTTAGGTAAGAGAGAAAACTGCGTTTCACAATGGTCCCAGCTCCCCCAGCATGGGTAAAAGCCTTGCTGTAAAACCCCTACCTTCAGAGATTTCAGAGTTTGCAGCCCAAAGGAGAAGGGTTTCTCAGAGTCTTCTGAAAAACAGGAACATCTAAGTTTATACATTCAAAATGCTTTCCCATGCTTTTTGTCAGTGACTCCCTCTTTCCTCCATGGTGGCTTGATAAACAGAACCCTATATATAAAGGGACTGGGTTACTTCAGAGGGGTACATGATCAAACAAGGGCAGGTGGATACGCCTGCAGGGAGACATGGTGGTCTCTCCTCGCAGAGTGCAAGCCTGGTGCTGCCAGCACAGCCCTGTGAAAACAGCCATCCTCCCTCTCTCCATTTCTCCCTCCCTCCCTGCCTGTTTCTCTCCCACCCTCCTTCCATCTGAGGGGCCCTCAGGCGCTTGTGCTCCAGAAAATCAGCATTTCTATTTTAATTTCGATGTGTTTCTGAAGCTCCATTTTCCCCTGGGCAGGAGGGAGTAGAGCCCCAGCTGCGTGAGGAGCACACTCACACTCACCCACAACAATGGCACTGCACTCCACGGGAACCGATCCCACCGTGATGGCGAGGCTCTCGATCTGGCCGATCGCCCTCACCTTGTGTGGCAATGGAAGCATCTCATCTTCGTCAGGCAGTTCTTTGAGGTGCTCCTTTAACCTGCACATTGAAAACACTTCTGACATGACAGGGACATGGTTCAGCTGCTACAGCAAGGGGCAAACGGGGTTTGGAAGTGCTCTTAGCTTGCTCATATTACTATGTCGTTAGCAGAAAGCTGCTTCCTTGGCAGGTTGTCTGTGATGCTCTGCATACAGCCAGCAGCCTACACACGTCAGACCATGGCACGACCCACAACACAGCCCTGGGGCTGTGTGAGCCCTTGCCCAAACAGAGCTCCTGACTGGATTTTGCTTTTTACCTGGGGAACCTTTTTTCCTACATTTCCTCAAGACTTGGGGAAGCTGCTGATCCAAAATGGCTTCTAATGCAGTGCGGGTGTAAGGAAGGGATACTCCAGCTCCCACAGTGGAGCCACTGACACCATGTCCCCCCCTCACAGGCAGGGCAGCATGCCTGAACCATGCTTGTTAGCAGGTGCTGCTGCTGGGTTTACTCAGAGGAAATAGGGACAAATCAATCATATTCAGCTCAAGACAAGAAAAAAAGGTGTCAGGGATATCTCAGGTACAGTTGTTTCTTCTACCTATGCCCCATGAGCTAGTCTGACAACACTGATTAATTATTTAGCTTAAGTTTCTCTTTTGAACTGAACAAGAACCTACTGGAAGGGCATTTCAAGGCAGTGATCTCTCCTTTGGATAAAAGCTTTATTGCTTTTTGGCTATTTGAAGAACCTTTGTGCTGAGCTGCATTACAGCAGTGAGTGTGTGTGTTTGCCCATCCATCCTGGGGGGGGACCAGCTTCCTGTAGTCTTCGTTTCCCCCCATTTGTCCCCACCTCAGGGCTCAGGCCGTGACACTGGAGCCAGGACCTAAACAGTGCTCCCATACCAGCTACACCCACTCCTCTGCAGGGGATTTCTTACACTGCAAGCAACCTCCAAGCTCCCCCCTCTGCTTTCCTCCAAGGCGAGAGGAAGAGCTGGAACCGCACTGTGACAAGATGCAGACAGACTTTTGCAAGAGAAGGGAGGAGCTGATCCTGTGCCTTGGGCTCCTGCATGCTGCTTTTAGGTGCGGGGCCCCCAGAGACCCCAACATCAGAGACCATCCCAGAGCTGCTGAGCCTCGGCTGCAGGCAGCAGCACCTGGCAAAGCCACTGTGAGGCCACTCCTGCCCTGGCAGGACCTAGAGCACAGTGGCAGTGGCCTAGCATGCCTCCAGCCTGCTGCTTTCCAGGCTGGATTTAAACAATGCTTGTGTTTTATCTCTGCCACACGCGAGACACTGCTGTGAAGTAAAACATCCTGGAGCAGTGCCTGCTGTCACACGGGGCCTACCGCAGCCATGGCAGAGTGAGCCAAGCATCAAAGCCCTGGTTTTGACCCACTTTGTTAATCTGGCTGTATAGTGTCTGTCCCTGCAAACCCAAGCAGCAAAAGAGCTGCAGGAAGCTGCCTGCGAGGCAGCCATGCCTGCTACACACCTCAGCCAGCAGTGCGTGCAGCACAGGCTGTTGCTCCGGCCGTACCGTCTGCCTGCACACCTAACGTGGCTCCTGCACACCCCGGTGTCAGTGGGGTCCCACCTAGTGCGAACCAAAGCCGCTCCAATGGCCAATGAGTAACAGTGGGGAGGGACACAGGCCTTTAATCTGCAGCTTATGGCCACAGAAGTGGTCTTGCTCAAATCAGGAGGGAATCCCCATAAGATGAGAGCAGAAACTGGCTCTAATCTATTTCTTAAGCACTCTTCAAATCATAGGATCAGCTAGGTTGGAAAAGACCTTTAAGATCATGAAGTCCAACCTTAACCCCAGGACTGCCAAGTCCACCACTAAAGTATATCACTGAGGGCCTCATCTACATGCTTTTTTGAGCACTTCCAGGGATCATGATTCCTCCACTGCCCTGGGCAGCCTGTTCCAATGTCTGATCATCCTCTCCATGAAGAAATCATTCCTAATATCCAGTCCAAACCTCTCCTGACGCAATACAGGCAGCACTGCTGAAGCAGGCTGGTGCAGCAAAACCTACAGAGGATGTGCATGAGTAGCACAGAGAGCAGATGAACTGCCAAGAGCATCCCTGTGCAACTCAGACATGTTGAGCAGCCAATACAGCATCTTGCAAGATGAGACCACTCCAAGCACACTGTTGTCATCCAGGAGTTAGGCTGAGCAGCTCCACAGTTCGTGACAAGTTTGCAGTAAGCACAGCCACCTTCCAGCCACTAAACACTGTTGTGCAAAGAAGTAATTACTGTCTGGGCAGAAAACAGGCACCATTAATCCAGGGACACGCAGTAGTGCTCAGGGAGCAACTGTGATTGGGTTTTCTGTAATCACTGCAAGTCAGTGATAAAAAGCAATGCTTCAATGTGAATAAAGTGCCAAAATCTCCCTGATACTCCGTGAGCTTATGCCTGATCCTGCTCATCGGAGATCAGTGGGAGTTTTGCTGCGAATGGCAGTCATCTCTCTAGCACTACGTACATACGTGGCCCTTCAGCTGGGAGAAACTTATTATTGGGAGTAGCATCAGACACCAGATTTCAAGCACATGCATGCACACAACTGCACAGCTGCCCTGGGGACACAGAAGACAGGGGTGTAAGGGTTGGGAAGCTATTTCTTGAGGCACTGAATGACAAACAGGCAGGCACTGAAAAGACGTAAATGCATCCAACCCTCTGAAAGGATTTACTCGAAGGTGAATAGGTTGGCACAAGTGGCTTTCTTTTTCATCTACCCGCAAAGACATTTACGAATAAGCCAGGATTTGGATGTAACAGGAAGCTCAGGGGCTTGCCCAGACACAGCCCAAAGCACTCCTTCCAGAGTGGCCATTGCTGGTGAGAGCCAAGCTCCAGCCACGGGAGCACTGCCTGTGCTGCCAGGTGCCACAAGCTCCTGCAGAAGAGAAATCCAGCTGGATATTTACCCTAGCCTGTCCAGGCAAGAAGACGACATGAGGTTGTGCTGTGAGCCAGTGTCCACCACGGCCTTCAGCTCCTTCCCCGCACACTGCAAGAGCAAGCAGAGATGGGAGATAACGCATAGGATGCGGGATGAGCACAGGATATCTGGGATCTCTGCTCCACACACACCAGTCTCTGCTGAAACGCCAACATCTCCATGCGCCAGCCCATCTCCGCCCCACCACACATTCGGTGCCCCCAGGGTATCACCTCATCCACTCCAGGCACCCAAGAGATGTCTCTTAAGCTGCTTTTTGAATAAGGTGGTGCTCCTAAACAACATGGTGTTGGGTCCTGATCCCTTCCCAGCAGCAGAAGGGGCAGCCCCAGGCAGGGGGAGATACTGTGGAGTGCAGAAAATACAAAGGAGAGTGGGGGTAAGGAGGAGAAATGTGAAATTACTCCTGGGGAAAGCAAAGAGGAATGGGGCTTGAAGAAAACAGATCAGCTGTGAGCACAGGGATTCACCGTCAATAATTACTCCTCAGCATTTCAGCATGTTGCCCCAGCCTGGCTCCTCCCTCTGCCCTGATGTCTGAGGGAAGACGTCCATCAGACCAGTTTTCCCTGTGCTACCCAGGTGGGCGTCTGTGCCACAGCAGCCCTGAACCGCAGAGGGAGAGCACCCACACAGCTGTGACAACCCTGGAGGAGGGCAACCAGCATCATAGAATCACAAATGTGGGAAACACAGCACCATAGAATCACAAATGGTTTGGCTTGGCAGGGACCTTAAAGACCACCCAGTTCCAACCCCTGCCGCAGGAGGGAAAAGCAGAGAATGAAAGCACAGCAATAAAACTGGCAGGTGGGGAAAGGGAGTCTGGGGAGGGACTATTACCTGGCAGCTCACCACTATGAGCTCCTCGTCCTCTGTTTTCCCTGAGCTGCCCACTTTGGTTTGGTTCAGCTTGTTGGTCTGCGCTGAGTTACCACTCTTTGGAGCCCAGCTGCTGCGGCTGCTTCGTAACTTTGATAGATTCGTCTCCATCAGGCGCTTCTGCAGGATATTATGTGGTTGCTTTAGGAAACAAACACACACAGGAGAGCAGGGTGAAGTCAGAGGAAAGCCACAAAGTGACCTGCGCTGCTAGACTGCTTGTGGTGCCCCTGGGGCAGTGCTGCGCTATGGAGGGGTGCCCTAAAGTCTTCCTGCTGCTCAGACTACATGTACTCTTCCTAGCCTACATCTATGTGCTCCCCTGCCAGCTCTGCCTTACCTGGCTTTGACTAAAGAGAACTGCTTCATATTGGTGAGGGAATAATCCGTTCAGAATATTAACTAGAATTTGGAGGGATGCCTTTCTTTTTCCAAACTCAAGGTTTGATTTCTACATGAAATCAGAGGCCAAATCAGGCTTTTCCAAGTCGTGTTTCAGCCTAAACAGCTGTAATTGCCTATCATCTGTTGATAAAGACATGGAGAATCCTGCAGTGATGTGAAAAGTTAAGAGAAAACAAACTGCTATTCCACCCAAGTATGGAAAACGTGTATGGACTTACTGAATGAACACAGATGCTTACATTGAGCACTGGCATTGCTGGCATAGGAATTACCTGTGTCCAGCCTCCACCTCTGTCAATGCTTTTGGTGTGAATTCTCCCAGAATTTAAGAAGCTGATCTGTTTGTCTGTGCATTGGCTCTTTATAGGTGCACGTGAACAAGGCACAGCTTCAAGAAGACAGCTACAGATGGTGTCTTCTGTCAGATCTGGGCAGAATTCAGTCTTGAATTGCCCTGCACCCCTCTTCCCCCCACATTTGTATTTAACTGCTATGGGTGAGTAAGTGGGCCCAATCCTGAGTGACATGCACGAGAGGGGAAGGAGAGGAGAGGAAGGGATAAGATCAGCCAAGGTAGGTAGGTATTCTCCAGGAACCCCCAGCAGTTCATGTGGCTGATTCTTACTCTCTCTGTCATTCCACTTGCTCTGTGAGAAGCACGTTGCCTCTCCAAATCTCCTCCAACTGCTTTCCCCAAAGCCTTTTTATGTTCAGTGTTTGTCACGGATGGATGCACGTCCTGCGCTGGAGGTGAAATGACTGCTTGATTATCTGCTCATTTCTCTGCCTGGCTAATCTCACACACACACCCCATTACTGCCCTTTCCTTCCAGCACTCATTTGTCCACAGTGAGACCTTCTTACAGGCTTATTCCTGAATGTTTGCATCCGTATTAAATATGCCCGTGTCCTGTGTATCTGCAGGGACATCTGAACCAGCAAACTTCTACATCCCGAGGGAATTTCAGTGGGATCAGAGTAACTTTGAAAACCTCAGACCATGGCTCCCTGAGATAGCCACGATGCACCTCTGTGTGCAGTGCTGTGCCTCATCTTTAAAAGAATCTGTGTGGCACATTAAATAGCAGCACTTAGAGCAGGCTAATGCAACTTGGCATCATCCTAAAATAACTGTAACTACGTTAGTGCTTCAGATCCTGCTGTAGGCGTAACACGAGCGGTTAAGCTGGACCTGACTGATCAGATTGGGTAGATCCAGCCAACATCAGTGGCCACCAAGACACATAATCTTCTTTTTCCCCATTTTTCACCATTCTTACTTCTGCATAAAACTTGTGGCTTGAAAGGAAATAGAATTTGATGACCGTTTTCAGTCACATGTGCTATGTGTGACCAGCATGCCAGAGAGCACGTCCTGTGTAAAGATGGTAACGTAGCCACACTCCCAGCACCAGGAAGAGATCAGATCCAACACTGTCTTGCCTTCTTCACGTACAAAGAGCAACAAAGCTCCAGCACTTCTCTGGCAACCACTGCCTTCCCACTGAGACTGAACAGCAGAAACCAGTATCGCTTAAGTAGATTAAAGGCAGGCGCGCTGGCTCCACAGTGGACCCTGTGCTAAGGGACAAGCAAATCACTTCAGAAGCGAGGACTCCCCAGCATGAGGCAGAGGCTGTAGGTGGACAGTCAGCACTGTAATCCACCTCCAAGGCTCCTCACCTAAGCAAAAATGCTCAGGACTGCTGACAGTGTGTGACACGTCCTTCTTACCCTTTGTGTTTGCCTGAAACTCAGGCACACATCTGGAGGAATAGTTCTTCATCAAAAAAAACCCAGAGTACGGGATAGGGACTGGGGAAGCAGATGAGTGAAGTTCCCAGCTGGCCAGAAGGCAGCCAGTCACGTAGTGGGCACCTCCTCATGCCCAGCCCTGCTGAGCTAGGACCCATTTCTGAATGGCATCACCCAGGGCAGTCTGGGTGCTCGTCTGGTCTGATGGGCCTCAATCACATTGCCAGACACCTGTGAAAGGACAAGCTGGAGAAGAGCAAGTCACCAGCACACACATCATCGCTATTTTATCTGTCACTTGCCTTTGATTTAAACGTAAATGTTTTTTACTACATGTTCTCCTATGGGTTGTTAACCAGTTACATACGTGGGTTTCCTCAGGCCCTGGTTTTATGAGTCCTATATGGGACACATCACTGAAAGGAAAAAGTCCAGCACTCAGCAAATGTGAGTTACCACCACAACGGGGTTGTCTTTTCTTGACACTTGCTCTTCTGAAAACCACAGCAAATCCTGCCTGTGGGGGGACAAATGTTGCTTACGTGGTGCTCCAGTACAAAAATAATCCAGCAAGAGGGGGCTGAAAAGGTTCCCTGAAGCACCATCCTGTCTCAGGCTATTAATTAGTTTGCTTTAACTTGTATTTCCCTCAACTCTCATGTGCAACAGAGTGAGGGATGTTAGTCACGGAGATGACTCAAGTGATGGATACGTACTCGGTGAACAGATAGTGTGCCAGGGGACATTTGCAAGCACACATTTTGCTGGAAAGCTACAAGCAGACCATGGCTGGGAGGTAGGGAAAGGAGGAAAACCACCCTGTGAGTGCGATGGGGAAGGCAGATGTGATCTCCGTCCAGCACAGGCTCGCCACACAGCCAGGACCAGTGCTTGAAGTAATCCGGATTACCTGGCATTTTCTTCCTGTGCACTGCACCAAACTGTCCAAAGGCTTCTAAAAAATAGAATGTTACATTCCATTGTGTGAGTGCAAAACAAGTAAGTTATTTCCTAGCATCCTTCAGCACAATGCAAATACAAACCAGGACTTTCATCATAAGGGGTCTCCCTTTCCATCCCCGAGACTTTGCAAAAACCTGTCACCGTAAGAGACTGAAAGGAGCGAAGACACCGGCTACTGCTGAACCCAGTTACCACTGTCTGTCAAACCCACAAGTAACTCCGTGCTGTTTCATTCCTCTCCAATTTATAGGGAAGAGCATCGCTGCAGCTTGCAGCATCCTTCTTGCTGGAAGGCTTCCAACTGTTTTGGCTTCTAGATATGGGGATAACGAGACCCATCAACAACAGTTTTAGTCAGGTGTAGATGAAAGCCAGGGAAGGTGCCAGCTCCTCCCCTGCCCAAACCCATGTTGAGAGGTTTGTGCACTCTTCTGTACCTCAACAGTAGGAAAAAGGAGTTTTAACACACCAATGGAGCCCATCCCAAGAAATGATTAATTACTCTCTCTTCTTCCCATTCTTCATCCAAATTCACCTCTTACACGAGCAGCCCATGTCTGCGTGCTGTTGGCCCCTCACGCAGGGGGACAAGGTGGGACAGGAGATGCCCCCTGCTCTTCTGCACCCCCTTGGGTGCCCAGGCAGCTGCCAGGTTCTCAAACACTTTTTGTTGTCGTTTGCTTCTATTTATAACTTCAATTCCCAGCTTGCAAAGCGATGGGGGACTGTTCCAGGGAAAGCCCCCCCAAACCAGCCTGGCAGCTCTCGGGTTGAGGGTGAAGTGTCAGAGCATGAGGAGGAGCTGCCAACAGCCAGCACATCCTGCCCAAGGGGTCTGGGGTCACAGTTACAGTGCCAGGAAGACCGAGTCCCACCTAACCACCATCCTGTGCCAGTTCTCTCTCTTCAGGGAGGAGGCTGGCAGTGAGCCACCAAGACAGAACCATTTCTGCTCTGTACATCCAGCCCTGTGTTTGCCAAATCCAGCGTACACTATGCTATAGTTTGGTCTTATCCACGTATAGGGAGCAAGGAAGTAGAAGAGCTCTGTCCAACCCAGAACAATGCACTGGAAACTACCTGCCTATATGGGGCATCAGCAGGACAGATACTTCAGGAGAGGAATAAAGGCGTGGGCACACCAGCACAGCCACCACAGTGACCTGCTGCCTCCTCACTGTGCACAGCACTCCCTGCACTGCTGCCACAAAGAAAGGGATTTCTCCCCAAATCGGAGTGGTCGCTGCCAGCTGTCACCCTGACAGATGGGACCTGTCCTCGCCTGTCCCTGTCTCTGGAAGCTGTTACCTCCTCTCTTCCCTTGGAGAGGTCACTGGAGAACCCCCGTGGGAAACCCTGCATCAGCAACACCAATCACATCAAAAGCCCTTCACCCACGTCACCACAGCTGTTACACAGCTTTATACATGAAAACGTGCTGCTCTGATAGCAGGTGTGCAGGTACTCACAGGAAAGACATGCAGACACTGTAGGCAAAGACCCCTGATGCCCACGGCCTCCTGATCATGCAGCTCAACGCCTCTGGTTTGGGACCATGCCAAGGTGGAGTCCCACATTTGGAGGCTCTTGGTGCTTCTGCAGTCTCAGAGATGCACAACCTCCCACTCATCCTGGGGGAAACTCTTGTGACTTCCAGGCAGCCATGGCACCAGGACCCACACAGGGAGTCGTCTTGAGGCAATGCTCATCATTGTCCTGGCCACATGGAGCATGAGCATAGAAGAACTGGCAGTGTGGCCTGGCTGCAACACAACCCACTGCAACAACTCTAGGATTCATGGCATCACCTCTAGGGCTGGGGGAATGGGCTAGTGTTGTCACTCTGGGGGTTCCCCATACATCCCATGATGGGGAGCATCGTGCCCCCTCCCAGGGGCAGGAGGCCGTAGCCAAGCTGAGCCCTTGATGTGCCCACTGTCCCATCACCCCTTACTGTGGCAGGCATGGGGACAAGGATTCTGCAGTGGGGTGGCCCATAGCAGCTCGGTTCTCACCACATCCCTGCCCAGAGACACACCATAGCTGGGTAGCCGGGCAGGCAGCACGCCTCTGACACGCTGCACCTCCTTGTTGTCCCTGGATCAGGAGCTGAGGACTCCCCAGGGCCCCTGCACCTCCCTGGAGAGGACACACACCCCCCCCAACACACACCCCAACCCCCCTCCCCACCCCACATCCCCTCCTGGCAGGGGCTGTGGTTGCAGCAGGAATGATGCTGCAGCCGCGGCTCAGATGGTGCGGGCACAGGAGCAGGGAGGAAACCTCGATGACCTTCCCATGACCAAGGCCATGACAAGGAGCCTTGTGCTCTGCCTCTGCCACCAGCACCAACCCTGGTCCTCACTGCCGCAGGGGCAAGGGCTTCACTGCTCAGTGCCTCTGGCTCCTGCTACCTGTTGCCTCTCTTGTCTGGGCAGAGCAGCACCCCCAGTCCTCAGGAGCCCAACCCCGCACGCTGTGGGTCACTGAGCCACGGCATGTTATTTAGACTATTAGAATAGTACTAACACCACCATCACACTCTGACAGCACTTTGTAGCTCACAAGTAGAGAGCTGGCATTCATGGTGCCCAGGAACGCTCCCTCCGAGCCTTTCCCTGGGCAGCAGCTTCACTCCCTACAACTGCAAAACATCTGCGATGTCAAAACCAATCACCTCCAGGTGCACTGCAGAGAACAGCCAACTCATTGCACTTAGCCAGGCAGAGCCAAGCCTAGCCCAGCTGAGCAGGAAGGCTGTGGCAGAACAGAAATACACCACTAAAAATAAGAAGATTCACTTTTTTCAATGAACCTGTATCAAGTATTGAGCAAATCAAATATGGGGTGTTACAAGGTGCAAGAATTTTGCAACACTTGGCAAAAAATAAAAACACCACAAAGGAGCTTTCCTGGGCAGGATGTGTTTTCTAGATTTTGCTCCTTACATCAGAACTTTTGGTATTACATTGAAGTATCATTTGCCATTAGAGAAAGCTCAAACATTTGCACAGGTGAGCATTTAGAAACGCTCTCCAGCCCCGGAACATGATGAAGAACATCATGTAGAACATCGTATGTCAGCTACAGGATCACATGGACCATTGCATAGGTAAGTATTTAAAACCTATAATTATGTATCTTCATTTGAGACCCCCAAATACACATCAGCCTTTATCAAAGTGTAATCTTGGCAGGTTTACATTTTGAAGCACTAGTGACTGCACTTTACTGGATCTTTTCTGATTATATGTTGTATGTACATATGCATCACAGACAAACATGTGTGTACAGATGTATGTCTTACATGAAGCCATTTTGATTTACTCTGATTCAGAGAGGATTTTGTACTGAAAACAGTACCCCGTTTTCATGTAAATGGGATAAAAGAATGAAAAGCTCTCAGACCCAAGTGTCAGCCATCTGAAAGCACCTCCTGGCAAAAAGCACCCTGGTGATAACTAGTGTCGTATTTCTACTCCCTTCCTTTTACATAGAAAAGCCTCATTTTTCTTTAATCAATTTCCACAAACAGTCAACTTCTCCTCCTGGCAGAAAAACAGCACAAAGATAACAAAACATAGACATTGCCCTACCCGCTTCTAAAGCCTCTTTCCAGCAAACACAATAGAAAGCCTTACAGTATCTTTGGAAGTGCCCAGCTTCTTCAGCCCATCCAGAGGGAGGAGATCTGCAGAATCCTTGTGAATGAACTGAACCGCCTGCTTCACCCTCCTCTGCTGGCGGAGAGATGCCGCTTCCCTGATCTCCACTTCTTTCCTGCTCGGCTCTGTCAGGATACCCGAGTAAAACATCTTTCCGCCCGCGTCCAGCTCACTTCTCGAGGATGAGCCTCTCACAGAGACCGAGCTGGGGAGATGCTCTGCCGCCTGCGCTTTATAACCAGCGCCTGGTGACGTCTGGAGACCGGCAGGTACTTCGAGGCAGCGCAGCCCAGTGAAGGAGGGGCTGGGCTCATTGCTAGAGGTCTCACAAACAACGGCGGGTAAGCTCAGGCTCGGTCTAACGCATAAATCGGAGCCGTTCCTCTCCACTGCCCCTCCTGAAGTGAGATCAGCCGCAGGCATCCGACAGCTCCCAAAGCCCCCAGCAGCCCCACAGGCAGGAAAGACGATGCTGGAGCACTGGAGCGAAGAGCCCCGGGGGCCAGCGCACCTCCCAGCCAGCCTCGGCAGGCACAGCTTCTTTGGGTCTGGACAGGGGGTCCGGGGTGTCACAGGAGGTGATGGCTGCATGGCGGTCCTGGAGTGATGCAGCCCCACAGGCCTGGGGTGGTGCAGCCCCACACAGACTGTGCATCTGGCCACACTGGGGTTTGCTACCTTATGCTTGGGTACAGCAGGGTTAGGGAGGGCTCTGGGTGCCTCTGGCCTCACCAAATCATTGCAGGCACCAATCTGTGTGTCACTGTCTACTCATGTCCGCAGGAAGGGTAAGGACTGCCACAAAAATTCTCCCAGCCAAACTGGGGCACGCCAAATGTGGTTTTACACAGGGTTTCTACACCCATCAAACATCCAGGTACAGCACGATTTGACTGATCACTGGCATCCACACTATTGCTTACTAACCAGAGTAAAACTTCACAAAGCAGCTACAGTTTCATGGCATCCTTGCTGTTCTCTATTGATCCAGATGACGCTGGAGTTGGTCTTGCTATAGTTACTTATCTCTGATGCCAGGCAACGCTAGGAGGGTTTCAAAGACATGTTAGAGGATGAGGATGCTGCCATTATATTGGTTGTTTGGAGTATTCTTTATCCTTCATGGACAGTTCTATGCTTCCAGGAAGCAATGTCCTTATTTCTGGGGCTGGGTTATCCTTTATCTTGTTTTAAGCATGAACACCACCAAAGTCTCCAGTAAAATTCCACTACCTCATTACATTTAGTGTATAACATGAACAAACTTAATACACTTTCATACTGTAAGGACTGTTTGATATAATAGGGGAAAGGACTTTCTCAACAGGGCTCAGAGCACACATGGGTTTATTTCACTACAGCATTGAGCTGTTTTAAGGGATGTATCATCTCTCACCAGAAAGAAGTCGTTTTTCATTGTTTTCAGGGGGCTTTGTTGTTTGTTTTGTTGGTTGTTTTCCCCCCAGGAGGGCCCACACCCTTGCAGCAGCACAGCTGGGGCGGTGGGCACTCACCTGGACCTTCTGCTTCCAAGTAATCTGTTGCAAGAGAAACTGCAGCTCTGCCTCAGAGAGACAGCGTGCACCTGGGAACACCCCGCACGGCTGTGGTTCTTGTTGAACTAACAGAAACCCTTGATGCACAAGGTAAAGCATAAGAAAAGCAGAGCTCTGCCCAGGATTTATGCCAAGCCTGACTTCCAGGACACTCCTAACCCTCAGGAGGAGCTGCAGCTCCTTTGCAGGAGGGTCACTGGCAGCAGCGCCTGCACCACTTGCACCCCACATGCAGCCCCGGCTCCTCACATGGTGCAGCGCTGACACTGAGCAAGGCTGGTGCCAGCTGCTGTGGTGATGCCAGGGCAGCAACTGTGGGTAAACTTGTACACCTGAGTTCTGGAGCCACGGCCCAACTGCACATGTTCAGCAACCCCTCATGCGTCCTGGGAGAGGAGGGGGGGGAAATGAAAGATCAGAATGCAGAATACAGTAAACCCCAAACCCATTATTTCACAGCCTCACATAAAGGCCACTACGCATGAGGCAGCCTGAGCTGAGCGAGCATGTCAGTGTGCAGAAGGATAATAGGGCTGACAGTCTGAAAGGGGATATAATATTTTTCTCCCCATGCTGACTTGGCTCATTACACGACAGGAGCATTGTTCCTGTACAAGCAAACATGCCTGGGAGGATAAAAGAACCTTATTTTTCACCTTGGGAGCTACTTGGCACTTCCCCAGCTGACTAATAAAGACATACGACCACATCATCATGCTCCCAACGGCAAGGGGGGCCAGAAGAAAGCAGCAGGACTGCCACAGAAACCAGGAGACCATTTTTAATGCAAAAGCTCTGTGGAGCAGCAGCGCTCTGCCTGAAATACTAGCAAATGCCCAGTCAGCGCTGGCTTACAGCAAGAAGGGTAAAGCTGCAAGAGCAGGGGAAGCATGAAAATGCCCCCTCTCATTTGAGCTCCAAGGCTGCAGCCTGCCTTTATAACTCAGCAAATGAGCATTTTGTCTGAGCCGTACAATTTCACTGCTGCTGTATGGTATAAATGCACCACCAGAACAGAAAACCTGCCCAGTGCACAAGGGTAATGAGTGAGATAAAGGCCCTAATTCCCATCTTCATTTTTAATCCTGGGAAAGAGGGGAGCGGGGAGGAGCAGTAGATCACCTGCACACATTCCTCAGGATCCACGCTGGAACAGGGGCTCAGTTTGGCTGCTGCAAACCCTGTGGTTGATGTCTGGGACAGTCGCTCACATGCAGCAGACCTGTCAGGACATTGCTCCCTGTCTCGGCAGGGACACATTTCAGACGAACTCCCACCCGCTGACTGGGCCAGGCCTGAGCATGAGCACTGTCCCTCACTCTGGAAAATCCCAAGGGCCAGAACCACCTTCCCTGCTCCGTCCTGACTCCAGAGCAGCACACGCAGCTCTCTGAACAGCAGAGCATCACGGCTGATGTCAGAAAGAGCTGTGGCACTTCATTCACACCCTGTGTCACCTCTTCTCTCAATGAAAGGAAAGCAGCAGCAAAGCAGGAAGTGGGTCTGTGCTGTTTATTTTTCCTTCTCTCTGATTTCTCATCTTTCCTTAAAAAGAAGTGATCTGTTAGCGGCTGCTGGTCCATGAGGAGAAGCAGAGATGCGCCAGGAAACAGAAGAAAGGACAGAGAGGTATAATTTAATAGAAGCAGCAGCAGGCAAGAGACCCAGAAAGAATAGTTCATCCCAGCACAAACAGAAAACTTCAGAGCCAGTTTCCAGAGGGAAGACTGTGAAGAGCTCAAGGAAACAAGACCATAATGATTGTAGAAAAGTAAGTTACTGTGTCCATCAGTGTGGGATACGCAAGGGTCAGCTCTAGCATACTCGGGCAATGGGAGTGCTTTGGAGACTAGAAAAGAATCTTTTCTAAAAAGGTTGTATACAAAAATACAGAAGGATTTAGTGAGCTCCCTTATCATCATTTGTAGCAAGACAAAGACTATGGATAGAGCTGGAGACATCCTAGAATATACAAAGGCAGAATCAGGTTGAGATTCCTGAGAGAAGCGGCCCGTTTTGTATAGTAACTCTGCACCCCCTGTCTGTGCTGCCCAGAGGAAGGACCTCCTGGTCTGGGATACAGCCCCATCACACGTGCTTCAGGAGACAACCATTCCCGGGGCAGCTCTCCCTAATTACCTCCACGTCCTCTGGAGTGCAGGAGCTGGTGGCAGCAGGCACGGCGTGGGGGGCACTGGTGATGCTAGGTGAGGAATTGACATAGTGCAGCTTTGAAAGGAGACTGAATTGCATTTCTCTGTTGAGTTCTCTTCATATACAGAGACAACAGAAGAACAGTAGTTTCAGGAACACAAAAAGTGCATGTGTCAAACCAAGAGATTAAAATGACAAGTCTTATAAGGGATGCCTCACCTTTATTTTTCCTGTTTTGAAATGGCTGAAACACACTTCTAAAAACAAAATAAAAGTATAGGATGAGTTGGCCAAGGAAACGTGGTTCACTTCCTAGCATCTTCTACGGCATATTTCAGTTGGCAGCCGACTGCTGGGTAGGAGCTACTTGTGGCTGGTGGAGTGTGTAACAACAGTCCTGCTTCTGGACCTGGCAAGCCATGCTGGTAACTGTGTTGCATTGGGAAAACGGGCTGAGCCCCTTGCAGTCCCACGTGAGCCAGTGAAGAACTTGCTGGCTCCATGTGCTGGCAAGGGATCTGGGACAGGTTGCCAAGGGGCAAGGGAAAAGCTGCCAGGCGACTTGCCAAGAACTGGGGAAGGGATAAGAGAATACACACGGGGGCTGGCATGGGGGACAGAAAGCCTGGCCTCCCCTGACCTCCACGTCATAGAACCGTCAGGATCAGCCCTTGATGGATTTGACAGTGGCTGCTGTGCACTGAGCTGTCCTGCTCGCAGGTGGGGGAAAACCAGGCTGACTGCCCCCAGCATTGCTCACCAGCTGGCTTCCTCCAAGACAAGACCCATGCACAACTCAGAAGTTGCTGCTGCACCCACGAGCACAGACATGGCCACCCGGTCTTTCAGAGCTATTCATGGAGCTGACGACACCGGGGAACTTTCCTCTCAAACAAAAGGACAGATTCACATCTCTTTCTCTCCCAAAATACTCCCTTCATGGCTTTCTTCAGGAGCACTACCTGGGCAGGTGGGCAGAAAATGGTGTACATAGAGGGCAGGTGACATTTCTCCCAAGTATGTATCCACACTAACCTCTGTTTATTTTGTGCAATAGGAAGATTATTCCAGCATAAGATTTCATAATGATTAATTCTAAGAAACGTTAATACATTAATGCTAGTTCTCACCCTCCTGCATGTTGCTAGAGTTGAACTGCCAATACTTATTTTGACATAAGCTGCACATACATTCGAAGTGCCAACCATAACTACATCATTCAGACTTCCCAAACCTCGGGGGATTTCACTTCCCCTCCTGTCCTGCAAAGGGCAGTTTGTGTGCTGAAGGCTTCCTCTTGCTGCTGGGGCATTCCATGCCGTAAATTTTACACTGAGATCATTAAAGATACAGAAGGGATCTTGTTAAGGCTAAAGCAACACGAGTCATTCCACACTACACAAAGACGGATTTTCTCACTCCTTTTCAACCTTGCCGGAAGCCTGACACCCACAGACCAAAGAGCAGCGGAGCCGGGCACGCACGAATGCTGCTGCTCAAGACAACCCGAGCTTCTAACGGCAGGAGGAAGAGGGCGCTGCTCTTCTTCACATCAGTCCTACGGCAGTCCCCCGGGAACGGCTAACAAGAGAGCCTGTTGCTGCTCCCCGAAAGGCACGGGGTGGTGGCAT